TCCTTCCCTCCCTTCCTCCCTTCCTCCCTCCCTCCCTCCCTCCCTCCCTCCCTCCCTTCCTTCCTTCCTTCCTTCCTTCCATGACAGTGGCAAGGCAGGGAAAGGCCAGTCAAGACAGGTCACAGGTTCACATGGCACACTTTTCACCATTTCAAGGACACTGTAAATTGCTTGAATTCAAGCAGCAGGCCTTCTACTTCCCTGGGCCATGGAGAAATAGTGGCCAAGAAGAGCAGTTCCCTGGCAGAATACTGGGCGTGGTAAAACTGTGAGGGCTGTGAGGTGACAAGCAGGGCTGGGATAAGCTCACAAACACAAAACCAAGGCCCGACGCGGTGTCTGCTGAGCAGAGCGCTGGGGGAGCAGGGAGGGGCGCGGCTGGCACACCGCGTGCACGTCCTGTGTTAGGCACTTCACTTCACTTTATGTAATCCTCACAATGGAGGAGACTGAGCTTGAAGGCAACACTCTTGAAGAGCCACGGGGCTGGGATTCAAATCCAGATCTGTCTGGTTCTAAAACGCACGCTCTTTCTTCTGTACAACCTGCCACCTGAGGGGACATCCGCTCTGGGACTCAAAGAGTGGTAAAGAGACCTCCAGAATAAATGAATCATTTTCAGAGCAAAGTAAAATAACAAAAAAACAAAAATAAAAAACACACAGAAAAAACAAAAAAATACCACATTCTCCTCAAATTTCACATCACGACTGGCTGGAAGAGCAAACATGAAGGATGCTGGAAACATGACCACGGCGAGCAGAGTGTTGGAGCAAACGTCAGCTTCCCCTGCCCCTGAGTGCTTGCTCTCTAAGCCAACAGGGTCAATGAATATTCCAGAGCTGCAGCTGCTGATTCATTCCAGAAGAAGAGATGTCTCCCAAGTTCAAGTGTTGTTAGGGCAGCTTCACTCTTTGGGCCCAGGATCCTCAGTTTTGTTTTTTATACTGCAAGACAGAGAGATTAGAAGTAGGGGAAGAGGGGCAGACGAGATAGCTCAGTTGCATAGAACATGCGGCTGATGACAAACACCAAGGTCAAGGGTTCAGATCCCCGTACAGGCCATCCGCCAAAAAAAAAAAAAGTGGGTTAGGGAAGCCAATGGAGAAGGGAGGACTCTGAGGAAACGTTGAACCATAGTCACTAGGCCTCTCCTGCCTCCTGTAGGGGCTTCTCAGAGCTGGTGAAACCCAGTCAGGAAGTACCGAACACTCAGATCCCTGGGTCAGGCCTGAACTAGATCTCTGGTTCATTCTTCTTTAATGGGACAGGAAGCTGAGGGGGCTGGGTAGGGGGGATAACAAAGAAACTGGGACATTAGAATTGAAAATTGTGGTCACCCATCCTTCTCTCTAAGCTGGGTCTTACTTGGGGGGGGAAAATCTCAGGTTAGAGGAGGACCCTCAGGCTAGCCAGTCCAATCACTGAGTTTTAAGAAATAGATCCTGGACCCCACATCTGGAGATTCTGATTTAGAAGGTCGCAGAGGTGGGGGCACAGTCCAGCTCTCTAGATCATTCTAATACCAAAGTCTAAGGACCAAGAAGCTAGTCTACAATCCTGACTCACTCCCTTCTTCCACCAAAACAGATCCTTGAATATCTCCTCAATAATCCTGCCTCAGTGTGAACACCCCCGAGACAGGGAGCTCACTTCCCCCAAAAAGCCTTCCCCCCAAGACATCACAGTGCTGCAGCCAGCTTGGGCACTAATTGTTTCCAAGACTGTTCTTTTCTTTCTTCCCGCTGCCCCATCTCTCAGCTCATTCAGCATTTGCTGTAGGTCAAATGTGTCCCCCCAAAATTTATGTTTTGGAAACTTGATCTCCACTGTAACAGTGTTAAGAGGGTGGGAAATCCTATTATGGTAATTGAAAGGTAGGCCTTTTGAGAGGTGGTTAGATTGTGAGAATGTGCCCTCGTGAATGGATTAACCCATTCATGAAGTAATGAATTATTATGTGCCTGGTTATGATGGCTTTCTTTATACAGAGAGCAAGTGAGAAGCTTAGCTCTCTCTTGCTAGGCCATTCTTGCCATGTGACACCCTGCATCACTGGAGAGACACTACCAAGAAGGCCCTCACCGGATGTGTTCTTGGACCTTGGACTTCCCAGACTCCAAACTGTAAGAAATAAATTTCACTTCTTTATAGATTACCCAGCTTCAGGTATTCTGTTATAAGCAACAGAAATGGACTAATACAACATTGTTAGGCAGAAATTTGAATTAAAGGGTTAAGGGTGACACCCCCCACCCACCCTCCTTACAAAAAATAAATGCAACCAGAAGGGATCTGCCATCACCTTTCGGCTTCTGGAAGAGAGAGCAACCAGCTGGGGACCGCCTCGGCATTGTCAACTGCAGGGCAGGGACGACCCCTAGTGGTCACAGAGATTATGGCCATCATCACCCCAGGTGTAGCTGGAAGCCAAGCACCTACTTTGTTCATGATCCAGTCGGCATCTTCAATGGCTCTTTTAATAATTTGCTGAATTCTCTCAGGGTTGTCTTCATCTGAATGAACCCTGAAGCTCTGGAAGTTTAAGCATACAGAAAGATGACTAGGCCAAATTCACAGTACCAGCAGCTTCAGAGCACCAGTCACAGGCCAGGTACAACACTGGGCACTTTATATTTGACATCTTTTTTTTTTTCTTTTTGGCAGCTGGCTACCAAACCCCTGGTTATGGGGAACCAAACCCCTGACCTTGGTGTTATAAGGCCTCACTCTAACCAACTGAGCTAACCGGCCAGCCCTCTCAGCCTCTTTCTTAATCCTCCATAGACAGTTATGATCATCCCACTTAGAGATGAGGAAACAGAGGCTCAAAAATCCTAACCTGCTGATAAGCAATAGCATTTCAATCCTAGTCTACCTGATTGCACAGTTCGTACTCTTGTCAACAAGACAGTTGCAAAAAGGAAGACTGGCCCCCAAGTTACCCCCAAATCCATCTGGGCCCAAAGGTCATCAGGCAGTGTGGGGGAAAGGGAAACATCAATCTGTTTACTTTGCTCCTCACAAGAAGCTGCTTTCACCAGGGTGAGATCTCTGCATGGGCTTCATGATGGAGGAATAGGGCTTCTCCTGGCCCAGTGCTGACAAAGCCAAGCAGGGAAGGGAGGGAAGGCAGCAGAGAGGGTGGCTCTGGGAAATGCAGCCAGGCCCAGTGCAGAGCACGGGCTGCTGTTTGCTTCAGACCAGATGTTCACCTTTGAGAAGCCAAGTAAGTGAGGGCTGGCCAGTTAGCTCAGTTGGTTTGAGTGTGGTGCTGATAATACCAAGATCCAGGGTTCGATTTCTGTACCAGCCAGCCGCCAAAAAAAAAATAAAAGCAACCTGACTGAGATTCAGGTTCACTGATGTGGTGCTCAGGGCCCTTCAAAAAGGACTGGTACCTCTCCCCCGTTACTCCCAACCCCACACATCCTCCTGCTGTTCTTTAGGAGCCACCTCAAATACCTTCTTCTGGGAAGCCCTCCCTGATCCCCAGACAGCTAACTGCTCCCTTCTCTATCTGCTCCCACAGTCCTCTGTTGCCACCTCTCTTTTTTACTTTCCTTTATATTTGTATGAATTTTAGCTTTTAACTTTTTACTTGGAAATAATTTCTAACTTACAGAAAGGTTGCGAGAATAATGCAAAGAATCCTCTACCGGAATCACCAATTGTTAACATTGTGCCCTTAACCCGAAACACTTCAATGGGTATTTCCTAACGACAAGGGCATTCTCTTATGTAACCACAGTCATCAAATTCAGAAAATTTAACATTGATACAATACTATTATCTAATCTATAGCCCTCATTTCTATTTCATGCACTGTCCTAATATAAGTCCTTTACAGCAATTTTTTTTTCTGGTCCAAGATCCAATCTGGGATCATACATTACATTTAGTTGTCACACCTCTTTAGTCCCCTTGAATCCAGAGTAGTTCTTCCTTTCTTTGTGTTTCAGGACATGGACATTTTTGATCAGAACAGACCAGCTAGTTATGTAGTAGATGGTCCTCAGTTTGGGTTTACCTGATGTTTTCTCACGATTAAATTCAGGTTATGCATTGTTGGCAGGGATGCCTGTCAAAGTGATGCTGTGTCCCACCCTCCATGTTAATTATCCATTTAGCTGCCTTATTCATGCCCTGGCACAGGGCTGGAGTGCTAGATAACACACCCTCTGTTTCCTGGACAGAGAGTGGCTGGGCTGCCCAGCATTGGTTTCCACTGGCTCTTAACAAACTGCCACCCCCACACCACCTGATAGACTAACCCTGGACCCTGGCCCTGGCCTCCAACTCCCTATTAAGTGCCCCATTAGAGGAAGCCCCCCAGACCCAGCGTACCCTGCTCCCACCTGCCTGACAGCATGTTTGTAATGCTCCTGGATGCCCTTGGTTGGCAGCTGCCAGCAACAGCGTAGCAAGTATCGGTAGAGCTGCAGTGGCCTCTGGACCAGCTCCGCCCCCGGCAGCGGGGCCATCTATGACACCCTCCGTCCCTGGAAAACACAGAGCATCACTTCTTAGCCATCAAACCTGGTAGGTTCTAAACTTAGCCCTGGCCCCCAGGTCCCAGCACTCTGTGAAAGCAGGCTTCATACAGCACAGAGGCCAGGTCCCTCTCATACCCCACCCCCATGGAGCTCGCACCCTGGGCTGGGGCTGGGCGTTCAGTCCTGCAGAAGCCCCAGCCCAAAGCAGGCCTGCTAGGACCAAGGGCGAGTGTGGAGGGAGATGCACAACCTCATCCCTGGTATCTTCTTTCTGGAGCCTGACTTCAGGTGGTGGATGAGGAGGTGTCACTGACAGGCACAGTACGAAAGATAAACAAGAAGACCCTGAGTGGCAATCACTGAGAAACCAGCTCTGACTCAGCCAGGCACATCCCAGGAAGGGCACCAGGCAACAGCAGGGAGAATGCCCAGAGTGCTGAGCCACACTTCTCAAAGGATGATCCAGGACCAGCAGCTCCAGCACCAGCTGGGAGCACATGAGAAATGCAGAGCCTCGGGCCCCACCTCAGACCTACTAGACCAAACCCGCATTTTAACCAGATGCCCAGGAGACTCGTATGCACATTAAACTTGAGAAGCACAATTCTAGGGGGTTCTGCATGAAGAAGCAACCTGATGCCCAGAGCCTGGGCACATGATTTGCTGTACCGTGTGTTGTTAATAAGAATGACAATGAGCGCTGGTTCTGTTCTGTTCACTTTACATGTGACTAATGCATACAGGAGAAACTAGGCACAAACACGGATGAGCTCGGAGGACATTACATTAAGTGTGGTAAGCAGGAACAGAAAGAGAAATACTGCATGTTCTCACTCACGTGTGGAAGCTAAGAAAGTTGGCTGCACAGAGGTAGAGAGCAGAATGGTAGTTACCAGGGGCTGGAAAGGGGAGAGGGGATAGTGAGAGGTTGGTAATGAATGCAAACTTACAGCTAGATGGGAGAGATAAGATTAGTGTTCTCTATATAGGGTGACTATAATTAACAGTGTATTGTGTATTTTCAGTTAGCTAGAAGAGAGGATTTTTGAATGTTCCCAACACAAAGAAATAATAAATGTTTGAGGGAATAAAACAAAAAAACTCAGCAGTTGCCAGGGGTTCAGGGGAGGGGGTGGGAGAGAGGGATGAATTGGTGGAGCATAGAGGACTTTCAGAGCAGGGAAACTATTCTGTGTGATACTGTAATGGTGAATACATGACATTATGCATTTGGCAAAACCCATGGAACAATACAGCACAAAGAGGGAATCTTAATGTAAAACCGAGCTAATAATAATATATCAATATTGGTTCATAATTGTAACAAACGTACCACACTAATGTGAGATGTTAACAAAAGGAGAAACTATGTGTGTGTTAAGGGAAGGGGGTGAATATGGGACTATGGGAACCGTCTGTATTTTCTGCTCAATTTCTCTGTAAACCTAAAACTGCTATAAAAATAAAGTCTATTGCTTGGGGGTAGGGGTAAGAAAACCAGACACAGAGGTCTAGTAACCTGCCCGAGATCACACGCCTGACAAAGGTACAGCTGGGATTTGAACCCTGGCAGTCTGGCTCTCAAGCCTATTTAAAAAAGAAAAAGAAAAAAAGCTTTATCGAGGTATAGTTGACAATCAACTGCATATTTTTGAAGTGTACAATCAACAAGTTTTGACTTAAGTACACGCCTGAGAAACCATCACTATAATCAAGAGCTTGAACATATCCATCACCCCCAAAGGTTATCTGGTGCCTCTTTGGAACCCTCCCTCCTACCCTCGTCACTTCTCCATCCCTACGCAGCCACGACCTGCCTTCTGTCACTACAGGCTCGTCTGCACTTTCTAGAGTTCTGTATAAATGGAATTATACAACATGCTCTCTTTTGTGTCTGCAGAACGCAGACTTTTAAGCTCTGTATTACACTAGCTCTCTCCACAGAGCCCACAACTCTAGCCTGACCTTTTTGTTTTCTTCTTTTTAAGGAAACATGAGAGTATACATTTAAATGGTAGATTCTAGAATATAAGGACTTGTCAAGCTTTCATTAAGTGCCTCCCAACCCCAAACCGTGCCCCTCTCTGTGCTCACTGCCCAGTTTCCTGCCTGAACCTCTGCCACAGCATCTTACCCGGTGTCCCTGCCTCCAGCCTGTCACTGCCACAGTCTCCTCCACACTGACATTGAATGAACTCTGGAAGCAGTGTCCTGGGAGCACCCCCGTCACCACAGGAGGTTCTCCCAGACTGTGAAGCACTATCCTCTCAGCACCTTTGCACAGGCGGCTCCCTGAGCATGGAGGTCCCTTCCCTGTCTCCTCCATGTGAGGAACCTTGTTTGTCCTTCAGATCCAGCTGTGTCACTCCTCCAGGAAGCTCTTCCTGGCCATCCCTCTCTGAGGACAGAGGGAATCACTCTGTCCCCTGTGGGGATGCAGTACCCTGTTCATGGTGCTGTGACAGCACTTGCCACACTGCCCGGGATTCATCTGCTGCTGGGCCGGTGGCTCTGCCCAGGCTGAGTGCCTGGCCCACAGCATGCTTCACACACTGTCTGTGGAACTGAACTGAACAAATCTATTATCTGCTCTGCACAGATGTCCCCTCTATGAGAGACAGGCTCCCTGTGTTCCAGATGAAGGAGCTAAAAGACAGAGATAAAGTGACTGTCCTTAGTCTCAAAGTAACATAAGAAAGAGAAAGACAGCCGCCCTGCCTCCCTCCAAAAAAAGAGATCCAGAATACTAAATCTATCAGACACCCTTAAGCTAAGAAAGGAAACATTAAGTAACTGGTTTCAGAGGCGCCTTCATTCCATTTCCAGCATACCATCTTCCCAGCAACAATAAACTCTGTCTCCACAGCTAGTCAGCCAGTGCCTCCTGGTTCTCTGGTCTCTTGCTCTGACACTGGGGGAGACAGGGGGTTGTCTGCCCCCACCGTTCATTTTCCTTTTTGGTAACAGCCCCAGCATGTGACTCGGGGTGTCCTCCTCCCAGGTCTCAGCCCAGAAGACCAATCACAGTGCTGCATCCATGTGGGTACAGGAATTGGTTCACAGCTGGTCACAGGATGGAAGCTGGCCCAATCAGAGCAAATGTCAACACCTCTGCAGGAGTGACCAGAAAGGACTTCAGCTCTTTCCCACTAAACTTGATGCTAAGAGGACTTGATCCTCTCTCAACAAAGTCATCTTGCCTCCTTTTGAAGCCTGACAGTACAGTCACAAAGCAGAAGACAGAGCTGAGACCCTGAGAGAAAGCAAATCTGAAGAACCTATTTGAGCCGTAAACCAATCCACCTCAAGGCACTCCCACCTCTAGAGTCCTCAATGATTTGAGCCAATTAATCCCTTTTTGCCAAAGCAGCTTGGGTTTGTTGCTTTGTCACTTGCAACCCAAGATGGACATATCCTAACCTCCCAGATTCTACGTCCATGATGAGCTCTGATGGTTCCAGCTCTAAAGAGTCCAAACAGGATAGGCCTCCTCAAGTTCCTCCTGCTATGAATCATCAATTTACCAGTCTGACTGGCCACGCTTTAGCCCAACAGAGGGGAACCCCATACAATGCTGGCCAAGACCTGCAAGGGCAACCACAAAGGACATGCCCCAGAGTCCCTTGGCAACCTGATGACAACCTGATGGACGGACTCCACTGGCAGGGCTTCCCCAAACTATATAAAGTGGTCATCAAATATTGTAAAATGCTAGTCGTGTAACAGATGGTTACCATCTGCAGTCCTCAAAATTAACATTTGGAAAGAGCACAACTTCATTTCATTACTTAAAAACCTAAGCAATACTTAGTAACCAACCCAGCAAGTTTGGGCGGCAGATTATTTTCAGCTCAATTATAATACTTAGTCATTCTCAGTAATAACTAGTAGAGAATACATGTGTGGGTCCACTTAGAAGAGCTAAACTAAAAATGTTTTAATTTAATTTAAAGTGTGGGTTTGCTATTATTTAAGGGGCAATGAACCTCACAGCTTCATTGCTAAAACTGTAGTCAAACACTTTGGCCCTGGCAATACTTGCTTCACTTATCCTGCCCTTTGGACTTGACCTTTGCCTTCCCACCCCAGACCCCTGCCTCTGTGCTGGCCTCTCCATCTTCCCAGGCCACTAAACTAAAATCATCACAGAGTCAACCCAGACTCTTCCTCCTCCCTCAATCCCCATGCCATTTAGTTTCTAAATCCTATCAAATTCTACCTCTGAATGCCCCCTCGAATTTGTCCCCTCCTCTCTACTCCACTACATGTCTTTGGACTTCTTACCATATCTCACTGGGACAACTGCAACAGACCCCCACCTGATCTCCAATTCTTCCAATCCATTTCCCTCCAATCTGTTCTCCACCCAACAGCCAGAGTGAATCTTTCCAAAACATACACGCTGGCCAGTTAGCTCAGTCAGAGTGCAGTGTTATAACACCAAGATCAAGAATTCAGATCCCCACACAGGCCAGCTGCCAAAAAATAACGAACAAAAAACACCACATAAATTTCAGCATGTCCTGTCCCTTCCTAAAACCCCAAAATGTGGGACAAATACTTGAAATTATTTTAAGCAGTATATAGACCAACATCTTTTTATTGTAATGCTTTTATAGTTATTTTCATGTGTAATGAGAAAAAAAATCCCATGATTTCATAGGTATTATGGCTTAAAACCATTTTAACAAAGAATGGCCATAGAATTTTTTTTAAACGTTTCAAGCAAATAATAATGCAGTTGAAATGTGGATATGGCAAAAATCATAAAAGTGGTACTGAAGTTTGGAAAATGCCAGTCTACAGAATAAAATCCAGACTCCTTCCATGGCCTACGAGGCCCCTCTGGATCTGGCCCCTGCCTGTCCTTCATCTGCCTCTCTCACACCCACAGCCTAGTCCAGGCAAACTAAGCCCCGAATGCCTCACTCCACGACAGCCCATGCTATCTTTGCCTGTTTTGGTCCCAGCACTGTGAGAGAATGTCC